AAGTAACAGTCACCCTCATCACTAGTAGACACAGCATACATGGCAGCAAGAATAGCATCATAGTCAAGATCAAAGATAGCAACCCCCGCCCTAGACAGCTCTCCCCAGCGAGGGATCTCCGTGGCGTCAGGGAACTGGTGACGCCAAGCGTCCGTCAGGCGGCCGAAGCAGCGCTGGGGGACACGGGAGGACAGTGGAGAAGTGAGCAAGGACAGGACCCCCAGAGGGGTCTGCCAGAGAGACCGCAACTGGCCGGCCAAGCGGCGTAAGTGTGGTGCGGTCTCAAAAGAAGGAGCGAGAAGCCCCCGAGTCAAGGGTGAAGGTGTGGGAGGCCGAGGCCGACGCAGAACCTGAGAGAGCAGACTCACCAGCACCTGAGGGAGCAGACGCACCTAGAGCAGCAGCCTCGCTAGCACCTAGAGCAGCAGCCTCACCAGTACCTAGAGCAGCAGTCTCAAAGCCCGGGTCGGGCGGAAAACACCGGTAACAGTCACCCTCATCACTAATAGTCACAGTATACATGGCAGCAAGAATAGCATCAAAGTCAAGGTCAAAGACAGCCACACCCGCCCTAGACAGCTCACCCCAGCGGGGGATCTCAGTGGCCTCAGGGAACTGGTGACGCCAAGCGTCCGTCAGGCGGCCAAAGCAGCGCTGGGTGGAGTGCGCACCCCCGCACTGCTCACCCGCGCGGTCGCCGGTGCGGAGGACGTAGGTGCACGGACCAGTACCCCCACCCCTCTGGCGTGCAGCGTACCACTCACGGAGTTGCTGAGGGGAGGGGATGTCACGAGTGCGCTGCTGCTGCTGCTGCTGGCGCTGACCACCACCGGAGCCGACTCTCTGCGCAGCGCCACCCCGACCAGCTCCACCTCCTCCGCCGCCTCCTCCTCCACCGCCGCCACCTCCGCTCCCACCGCCACCGCCGCCGCCGCCTCCGCCTCCACTGCCACCACCGACACCTCCACCCCCGCCACCACCCCCACCGCCACCCCCACCCCCTCCACCGCCTCCACCGCCGCCTCCACCGCCCCCGCTAGCTCCTCCAGTGCCCCTGCCCCCCTTGCCCTTGCCAGGGCGGCGTCTCCCGCTAGGGGTAGACGCCGCACCGACCGACTCAAGCCCAACGAGATCGGCCGCAGCAGCAGAGGCAACAGAGGGCAAAAGGGGGGAGGGGGAACACCCCTCAAAGATGGGGGTGCGAGGGTCACCACGAGAGGCTCCTACAGCTACTATGCTCTTCTCTGCTGCTAGGAGGGACTTCTCGAGGAGGTCAACGGTGAGAGTGGTGGGGCAAACAGAGAGGAAGTGGTCCCTGACTACGCGAAGGGAGTCAGGGAGCCGGGTGACTATGTAGTAGAGGGTGATGTACATGGGGGGGGGGTTCTTGGCGCAGAACTCTGCAGGAAGCGCAGCGCGGTAGCGAGTGTCACTAGTGCGGAGGTGCGTAATGAGGTCAGCGACTGTGGGAAAGGCAGCAAGGTCAGGGAAGAGGTACAGTAGCATGAGGCGGCTAAGTGCAGCAGTGGCAGGGGAGGAGTAGCGCGCAACTACAGCGTCGTACAAGGTCTGAGCACTCTTGTACTGGCGAAAGTGCGCACGCTCAGAGGTAGGTAGGTGGCGACGCACAGCAAGACGTGCAGCAGCATCGCGTGTGGCCCACTGGGAGCGAACAGTGGCGTCAGCAGCAGCAGCGGGGGCAGGAGAGGCACCAGAAGTGAGGTCAAAGAGGGAGAGGCCGTCTGCCCTGTCGCACTGTAAGAAAAGCTGCAGGTCATCTATCCAGACGTCAAAGTCAATGGCCCGACCCTGAGCGTCAAAAGCGAGGACACTAGGGGTAGCCATGACAGCAGTAGACTAGCAGCGCAAACAGTAGGGTGAGGGCAGTGCTGTGAAAGGGGCGCTGCTCTTACCGGACAGGGCGGCTCGGGTGGCTCGGCTGTAGGGCGGCTCGGCGGCTCGGTTGCTGGGCGGCTCGGCGGCTCGGCTGCTGGGCGGCTCGGCTGCTGGGCGGCTCGGCTGCTGGGCGGCTCGGCTGCTGGGCGGCTCGGCTGCTGGGCGGCTCGGCGGCTGGGCGGCTTGGCTGCTGGGCGGCTCGGCGGGGCCGCTGAGAGGGCGGCGTCCGGGGCCGCTGGGAGGAGCAGCGGGGCCGCTGAGAGGAGGCGGCGGGGCCGCAAAGGTAGGTGGCGGGGCCGCAGGTAGGTGGCGGGGCCGCTAGTAGGTGGCGGGGCCGCATGTAGGTGGCGGGGCCGCTGGTAGATGGCGGGGCCGCACAGGCAAGTGGCGGGGCCGCGGAGGTAGGTGGCGGGGCCACACAGGTAGGTGGCGGGGCCGCGGAGGTAGGTGGCGGGGCCGCACAGTGAGGTGGCGAGGCCGCGAAGGTAGGTGGCGGGGCCGCACAGGTAGGTGGCGGGGCCGCGGAGGTAGGTGGCGGGGCCGCACAGTGAGGTGGCGGGGCCGCGAAGGTAGGTGGCGGGGCCGCACAGGTAGGTGGCGGGGCCGCGGAGGTAGGTGGCGGGGCCGCACAGGTAGGTGGCGGGGCCGCGAAGGTAGGTGGCGGGGCCGCACAGGTAGGTGGCGGGGCCGCGGAGGTAGGTGGCGGGGCCGCACAGGTAGGTGGCGGGGCCGCGAAGGTAGGTGGCGGGGCCGCGTAAGGTGGCGATGGGCGCGACGGGCGCGACGGGCGCGACAGGCGCGACGGGCGCGACGGGCCGAAAGGGCGGCGCGAAGGGCCGTAGGGGCGGCGCGACTCGGGCCGGAGCAAAACGCGCTCCGGGCAGGAAAAAAAATAATTTCGTGGTGGTGGGCCCTAGGAATCGTTCCCACTAGGGAACCTGCTCGATATCATGAGAAGAAACGAGGAATGAAATGACTAAGTGAAAGTTGGGTACAAAAAGCAAACCCTAGAAAACTGTACCCCATATGTGCCACCCCACTATAGCCTACAGTAGCTATGTCATATAAATCTGACAATACCCTTGTGATGGTTCGTGATAGATTTGGCGGAACATGTGACCGTTCATGATAGATTTTGCGGAACATGTGACTGCTCGTGATAACTACGAAATGTTTTGTGACGGCCCGTATAAAAACCAAAAAAAAATCGCCTCTGGCAAATTGGGGGAGTGGGTCTAGGTAGGTCTAGCGCCCGAGCCGCGCCCTTCCCCGTGGCCGTCCACATCTATTTCGGGTTATCCATACAAACCAGCATTCTCCATTAGCGTGTGGTTCTGTTACCCTTTTTTGTTTGGGGCGAGCCCGCTACAGTGCCATGGGACATTTGAATGTGGGTTTTTTTTTTTCCCAGAAGGCTTACTGTAGCTTCTTTTCTTTCAAGGGACTTTCATCTCAACTTGCGCACACTTTCCGCTGATCCGCTTCTAAGGCGGAAGATTTATTGTGCTAACACAGAACTCGGCTTCTCCGCACGTCTCGCAGGCACTGTTTTCATCGGGTTTCTTCTGCCAGGAAGCACAAAACTAAATCCCTCTCGGATGGAAAGTTTTCAAGGGCATCAACCCTAAACACCACGCGACAAGGTGTTTAGGGTTGATGCCATACATTAGCATGCCAGCCAAGAGGGATGTAGTTTTGGCATCAACCCTAAACACTTAGTCGCAAGGTGTTTAGGGTTGATGCCCCTTAACACTTGCCAGCCGAGAGGGATTTAGTTTAGTGCGGATAGAAAGGCAAAACACCGAGAGGATGACACGTGGGTAAATGTGGAGTCTAGTTCTGTCTTCACGCAATAAGTCTTCTGTCTAGGCCGCAAAACCTGGAAAACTGTGTGCAGGTAGAAAAGAAGGTCCCTAAAAAGCGCAGGTTCGGAAGTACCTCTTCCGCCGTAGCTAAAAACCCTTTGAATGTCCAGGCAAATGCCTCCCCCTCCAATCTGCGCCAGCTCCCCAATGGCGCAGGTTTTCCGCGGAGCAGTCAATCCAGGGTCAAAATTCGTTGACACTGGTTTGACGCGCGCCTCACCGTCCTGAAATTTTGCTTCCGCCTGGCTGCCGAACTGGGCCTAGACTGCCACTTCCTGGATGCGTTAATTTGCCGCGGATTAGGCCCTGAAAGCGTGTTCAAAGTGCTGCAAATTTCCGACGTAAATCGACGTCGAGGTTGTTGGGCATGGTAGGAAAGCTGAGGGGTGCCATTTTTGTGTTCAAAGTACGCTTCAGAAAATGCTCACGCCAGCATCAACACTTGTACGGAATTCAGCGCATCTGTACAGTGATGACGAGACCACACCAGACAGAACAACAACAAAACAAGAATTGAATTCTCGAAATTAACGAGCCTGTACGATTCGTACTGCGGGTTTCGCAGCCATTAGTGGCACTGTCTACGCATGCGAAACGGCCTTGCGATTTCCAAAAATCGTTTGAACTCAATTGTTTTACTATTTAGGCCGGCATTTGTCCTGAGCGGAAGTTCGTCGCCGGCATTGTGTTCAAAGTGCCGCGTTCGACGTCGATCGACGTCGAGCTCGACGTCTGCCGACGTTGAGCCTCCGACGTCGGAGGATATAAGAAATTACTTTGAACACGCTTCTAGTGCTGTCAAGAAGGGAGTGTAATGTCAAGATGGGAGTTGGGCGAACCGCTGCATACGTGGCGAACAGCCAACGGCGTCACGAAAGAGAAGTGCATCGGCGACTTTCGCAACTGTCCTTTCCAAACTTCGGCCGCACATCTGGTCAAGTAACCCTATCCCCTGCCCGTCCAGCTCGCAAGCCCTTGGATGGGGATAGGGTTACTTGACCAGTGTCAAGTACAGTAAACACCGCGCCGTTGGCGCGCCGTTGGCCCTATACATGTGCACAAGGGATAGGGACTGGTAAATTTATGACTCTGAACTTCAGTTTTTTCGTCATAAGGTATGGCTGGAATCATCATCACTCTGAGCGGAGGGTCCGGCCCGTCAGTTGCAACCATAGCCGCGCTCGCCGCCGCAGCGACAGCTGTCGGCCTCTCCTTGGTCGGACTGCGCGGTCTGTTTCAATGGGCCAAACGCGCACACAAATGCGCGCGGCGACGCTTGACGTGGCGCAGCGTGTTTACTGGCGAGAAGCACGGCGGCGGCGCGGAAAGGGAAAGGGAGCGCGTGGCTCATCTGATTCCGCTAATAGAACGATCGGCGAGTTCGGGGAAAGTGAAACGGATCGAGCGATTCGGCGAATACGTAGGTGCGTGCGCGGCGTCCGAGTCGCTGACGTAGTAGGGAATGGAGATTAATCGCTAACTTAGTGGGCATAAATATCAGCAAGCCATTGTTTTATATTTCGTTCAGCATTTGTTTTGCTCTAGAGGCATTGGTTCACGTGTCCCTTTTTCACGACGGTCGTGCAATGGTCAGTGCGCAAAGGTGGGGAAAACTCAAAATTGGGCATGCATTGTGTCGTATATTTTTTTGCAGAGATATCCCTACCCGGGCCGGCAGTCTCCAACCCACTGTCCTTCGCCTCTCCTTTTTTCCCAATCCATATCCTTCGCCTCTCCTTTTTTCCCTTCTCCCTTCCGCCCCTCTCCCCCCCCTTCTGCCGCGCGCCTTTCCCCTCCACACGCCCCGTCTTCGTTCCGCCACTCCCCCTTTTCCCGTCCGCCTCCGCTTCCCCCGCCGCCAGTGCGCCAGCTGGGCCTGCCCACGGACCTGGCGGCGGCGGCGCTACTGGCGCAGGCGGCGGACGACTACGTGCGGGGCGAGAAGAACACATCCGATAAGAGCCGCGCCAACCTGCTCGCGCTCGTCGCGCAGACGGGGGGCGGGCGCGTGGCGTGGAAGGGGGAGGCGGGAGCGGAGGCGGAGGCGGAGGCGGAGGCGGGAGACGAGGGGGGGCCGGGGGAGGCGGCGGGATTAATGCGGGGTTCAGAGGCGGAGGTGGAGCAGGTGGGGGAGGAGCTGAGCGCAGAGCTGGACGCGTGCATGCTGTCCTACTTTGGCTTCCACTGGCCGCACTCCGCGCTCATGATCGAACAGGTGCGTGGGAGGGGGAGAGGGAACGGGAGGGGAGGAGCAGTGGGGTGGTTGGGGTGGGAGGGTAGAGTAATCTATGATGCTTCCACTGGGCGCACTCGGCGCTCATGATCGAACAGGTGCGTGGGAGGGCACGGGGTGGGGAGAGGGGCAATGGGAGGGGAGGAGGGGGCAAGAGGAGGGGAAGAATGAGACTCAATTGAGTTACTTGCATTAGCCAATGCGTACTTGCGTGGAACAAAAACTCACCTGCTTTGCGCATAACTGGATCAGCGAGCGTAGAGCGTCAGAAGGTAGCGTCATCGCAAGTTTCGTGCAGCCAGGGCGAAGTTCACAGCTGAAATCGTCCGCCACAACGGCTTTTTTTATATCCTGCTGGAGGGAGGATGTACGAACAGAATAAAGACACATATTTAAGGAATATGTACGTAAGGAAGGAACGGCTAGACTGCAGCGGCCATTGTCACGTGCGATCCAGTGTGCGAGGAAAATAGAGCATGTAAAATTTTCCAAGTGAAAATGAACGTGTGCTGAACTGTCAGTGGATTTTGAGTTGTGAGGGAGAGAGGTATGTGTTGCGTTGTGTGGTGTGGTGTTAGGTCGCACGTGAAGATTGTCGAAATGTTGACGAATGAGCTAGCGAGGTCGTCGAAACCTGGTGTTGATTACAATAATCAAATCCTACGGATTCAGAGGCACCATGACGATGCCTAGCGAATACATGGAAACCCTAACATTTTGAGTTATTGTTCGCCCACGCTAGTCCAAATCAAATCCGTGCTGTCACATCTGATTGTGACAACGCACCTTCAGAAGTGTCGCAGTTTTCTGACATGTCAGCATCACCTTATCTAACTCTGATGTCGCTGTAGTCTGTTCTGTTATCACGCCACGAAACTCCCGTTGATGCGAATTCTGACTTGAGATTAGTGCAAGCTCGACACCACTGTACATCCGCCAGAACCGAAGTAAATAGTCTATAATCTGTGCATTGTTTAGCATTTCGCCAGCACAGGTTCTGCACAGGTCAGACAGCACTGGTCAGACTGCACTGCTAACCCTCCTAAACACTGTTCCAAGTGACCTCAGCCATTGCTCGTGGGATGGTCGGGGCGCATAGATGGGGCGCGTATGTGGGCTCGCGAAATTCGTAGAGAACTGAATTGCCACTGGCCGGACCATGCGGTCATGTTGGAACAAAGTGGGCGGGAGGCAAGGGAAGGCAAGGCAGGGGATGAATTTTCAAGACAACTAAAAATATTGGCAGCACATGCATCTCTACCATCCCTGTGCGCCCATCCCTGTGCGCCCATCCCTGTGCGCCCATCCCTGTGCGCCCATCCCTGTGCGCCCATCCCTGTGTTCCCATCCCTGTGTTCCCATCCCTGTGCGCCCATCCCTGTGCGCCCATCCCTGTGCGCCCATCCCTGTGCGCCCATCCCTGTGCGCCCATCCCTGTGCGCCCATCCCTGTGCGCCCATCCCCGTGCGCCCATCCCCGTGCGCCCATCCCTGTGCGCCCATCCCTGTGCGCCCATCCCTGTGCGCCCATCCCTGTGCGCCCATCCCTGTGTTCCCATCCCTGTGTTCCCATCCCTGTGCGCCCATCCCTCTGCGCTCATCCCTGTGCGCCCATCCCTGTGCGCCCATCCCTGTGCGCCCATCCCTGTGCGCCCATCCCTGTGCGCCCATCCCTGTGTTCCCATCCCCGTGCGCCCATCCCCGTGCGCCCATCCCCGTGCGCCCATCCCCGTGCGCCCATCCCCGTGCGCCCATCCCCGTGCGCCCATCCCTGTGCGCCCATCCCTGTGCGCCCATCCCTGTGCGCCCATCCCTGTGCGCCCATCCCCGTGCGCCCATCCCTGTGCGCCCATCCCTGTGCGCCCATCCCTGTGCGCCCATCCCTGTGCGCCCATCCCTGTGCGCCCATCCCTGTGCGCCCATCCCTGTGCGCCCATCCCTGTGCGCCCATCCCCGTGCGCCCATCCCCGTGCGCCCATCCCCGCGCGCCCATCCCTGTGCGCCCATCCCCGTGCGCCCATCCCCGTGCGCCCATCCCCGTGCGCCCATCCCCGTGCGCCCATCCCTGTGTTCCCATCCCTGTGCGCCCATCCCTGTGCGCCCATCCCTGTGCGCCCATCCCCGTGCGCCCATCCCCGTGCGCCCATCCCTGTGCGCCCATCCCCGTGCGCCCATCCCCGTGCGCCCATCCCCGTGCGCCCATCCCCGTGCGCCCATCCCCGTGCGCCCATCCCCGTGCGCCCATCCCTGTGCGCCCATCCCCGTGCGCCCATCCCCGTGCGCCCATCCCCGTGCGCCCATCCCTGTGCGCCCATCCCTGTGCGCCCATCCCTGTGCGCCCATCCCTGTGCGCCCATCCCTGTGCGCCCATCCCTGTGCGCCCATCCCTGTGTTCCCATCCCTGTGTTCCCATCCCTGTGCGCCCATCCCTCTGCGCTCATCCCTGTGCGCCCATCCCTGTGCGCCCATCCCTGTGCGCCCATCCCTGTGCGCCCATCCCTGTGTTCCCATCCCTGTGCGCCCATCCCCGTGCGCCCATCCCCGTGCGCCCATCCCCGTGCGCCCATCCCCGTGCGCCCATCCCCGTGCGCCCATCCCCGTGCGCCCATCCCCGTGCGCCCATCCCCGTGCGCCCATCCCCGTGCGCCCATCCCCGTGCGCCCATCCCTGTGCGCCCATCCCCGTGCGCCCATCCCCGTGCGCCCATCCCCGTGCGCCCATCCCTGTGCGCCCATCCCTGTGCGCCCATCCCTGTGCGCCCATCCCTGTGCGCCCATCCCTGTGCGCCCATCCCCGTGCGCCCATCCCTGTGCGCCCATCCCTGTGCGCCCATCCCTGTGCGCCCATCCCTGTGCGCCCATCCCTGTGCGCCCATCCCTGTGCGCCCATCCCTGTGCGCCCATCCCTGTGCGCCCATCCCCGTGCGCCCATCCCCGTGCGCCCATCCCCGCGCGCCCATCCCTGTGCGCCCATCCCCGTGCGCCCATCCCCGTGCGCCCATCCCCGTGCGCCCATCCCCGTGCGCCCATCCCTGTGTTCCCATCCCTGTGCGCCCATCCCTGTGCGCCCATCCCTGTGCGCCCATCCCCGTGCGCCCATCCCCGTGCGCCCATCCCTGTGCGCCCATCCCCGTGCGCCCATCCCCGTGCGCCCATCCCCGTGCGCCCATCCCCGTGCGCCCATCCCTGTGCGCCCATCCCCGTGCGCGCATCCCCGTGCGCCCATCCCCGTGCGCCCATCCCTGTGCGCCCATCCCTGTGCGCCCATCCCTGTGCGCCCATCCCTGTGCGCCCATCCCTGTGCGCCCATCCCCGTGCGCCCATCCCTGTGCGCCCATCCCTGTGCGCCCATCCCTGTGCGCCCATCCCTGTGCGCCCATCCCTGTGCGCCCATCCCTGTGCGCCCATCCCTGTGCGCCCATCCCTGTGCGCCCATCCCCGTGCGCCCATCCCCGTGCGCCCATCCCCGCGCGCCCATCCCTGTGCGCCCATCCCCGTGCGCCCATCCCCGTGCGCCCATCCCCGTGCGCCCATCCCCGTGCGCCCATCCCTGTGTTCCCATCCCTGTGCGCCCATCCCTGTGCGCCCATCCCTGTGCGCCCATCCCCGTGCGCCCATCCCCGTGCGCCCATCCCTGTGCGCCCATCCCCGTGCGCCCATCCCCGTGCGCCCATCCCCGTGCGCCCATCCCCGTGCGCCCATCCCCGTGCGCCCATCCCCGTGCGCCCATCCCTGTGCGCCCATCCCCGTGCGCCCATCCCCGTGCGCCCATCCCCGTGCGCCCATCCCTGTGCGCCCATCCCTGTGCGCCCATCCCTGTGCGCCCATCCCTGTGCGCCCATCCCTGTGCGCCCATCCCTGTGCGCCCATCCCTGTGTTCCCATCCCTGTGTTCCCATCCCTGTGCGCCCATCCCTCTGCGCTCATCCCTGTGCGCCCATCCCTGTGCGCCCATCCCTGTGCGCCCATCCCTGTGCGCCCATCCCTGTGTTCCCATCCCTGTGCGCCCATCCCCGTGCGCCCATCCCCGTGCGCCCATCCCCGTGCGCCCATCCCCGTGCGCCCATCCCCGTGCGCCCATCCCCGTGCGCCCATCCCCGTGCGCCCATCCCCGTGCGCCCATCCCCGTGCGCCCATCCCCGTGCGCCCATCCCCGTGCGCCCATCGCCGTGCGCCCATCCCCCTGCAGGTATTCCGGGGACCAAGCAAAAAACTGCAATTGAGGGACGCTGTCAATGCTGTCATTCGGTGAGCCACCTCTGTCTGTCTGTCTGTGTGTCTCTGTGTGTCTCTGTGTGTGTCTGTCTGTCTGTGTGTCTGTGCGTCTGTGCGTCTCTGTCTGTGCGTCTCTGTGTGTCTGTCTATGTGTCTGTGTGTCTGTCTGCCTGTCTGTCTGTGTGTCGGTGTGTCTCTATGTCTGTGCGTCTCTCCATCCTCTTATCCAAATAGCTGCTATTCCCAACCCCACCTCAGCGCTAAACAAGGATGGAAAAAACAGAGTGCGACCTAATGTTCTCTCTCCCTTCCTCCCCACCTTGCCATTCTTCTCCATGCACCCAGCGCCGGTTCACCGAGGCCATAGCGTGTCTGCGCCCGCAGCAGTGGTCTTCATCTCCTCCTCACTTCCCCCCCTCCCTCCACTCCCCCCCCCTCCCTCCACTTCCCCACCTCCCTCCACTTCCCCCCACCCCCCTGTGCAGCCAGCGCCGGTTCAACGAGGCCATAACGTGTCTGCGCCCGCAGCAGCGCTTCTCCCAGCTTCTGCACAAGATGCAGATCCTCGGCTGCGGCCCCCGCCCTGGGGGAGTGGGGGGAGCGGGGGGAGCGGGGGGAGCGGGGGGAGAGGGAGAAGCGGGGGGAGCAGCTGGAGTGGAGGGGGCGGGAGGAGCGGGGAAAGTGGGGCAAGCAGGAGAGAGCAAAGGGGGACCGGGGCAAGGGGAAGCGAGGCAAGGGGGAGTGGGTGAGGAGGGCAGTAGATCAGAGGGCAGTGAGCTAGCGCGTGCTGGCTCTAAGAGTGAGATTGGCCGTGACGGTGGCCCTCACTCTGTCTTCCATTTCCCCACTTCCTCCCCTTCTCACTCCCCTTCTCACTCCCCCTCTAACTCTCCCTCTCACTCCCCGTCTCATGCTCGCTCGCCCTCCCGCCCGCGCGCCTCAAGTGTGGAGGTCCCGAGGGAGGGGGAGGTGATGGTGCCGGCAGCAGTGCCGGCAGCAGCGGCGGCGCGCTCCCCCGTGCTGCTGCTGATTGGGGGAGGCGCGGGCGCTGGCAAGTCAACTGTTGTGAAAGAAATCATGAAACGGTGAGTTGAGGGATAGGGTGAGTGTGTGTGCAAAGGCGGCGCGCTCCCCCGTGCTGCTGCTGATTGGGGGAGGCGCGGGCGCTGGCAAGTCAACGGTGGTCAAGGAGATCATGCAACGGTGAGGGGAATGAATGACTGCCGTGAGAGACAGTGAGGGCGGGGCATGGGTGCTGTTGTTGATGGGCGGGGCATGGGTGCTGCAGGCAAGTCAACGGTGGTCAAGGAGATCATGAGACGGTGAGGGGAATGAATGACTGCCGTGAGAGACAGGGTAATGGAGTGGGGTGTTGAGGGATGGAGTGGGGTGTACAAAGATACAGTGTTTGTGCTACCTATCATGGATTATTGTGATGCAATGGCTATGCGCCACATGCGGTGGTTGTTGTCGAGGCTGGTGTCTTCAAGGAAAAATACGCAATCTTCTCAGCGCTCTCCTTTGCTTCTTCTCTTCTCCTTCCGCCCCTCCCCTCTCCCCCTTCCCCCTCCCCCCCTCAGCACCTTTTGGGCGCGCATGGCGCCACATGCGGTGGTTGTCGAGGCCATCCGCACCCCCCTCAGCACCTTTTCCTTCGATGGTTGTCTTCAAGAAAAAGGGCGCAATCTTCCCAGTGCTCTCTCTTCTGCTTCACCCTTCTCCTTTCTCCTCCCACCGTCCTCCCTCTGTCCGCCCTTCCTCGCCTGCTCCCCCCCTCAGCACGTTTTGGGCGCGCATGGCGCCACACGCGGTGGTGGTTAATTGATTCCGACGCCTTCAAGGAAAAATACGCAATCTTCTCAGCGCTCTCCTTTGCTTCTTCGCTTCTCCTTCCGCCCCTCCCCTCTCCCCCACCCCCCCCCCCCTCCCCCCTCAGCCCCTTTTGGGCGCGCATGGCGCCACACGCGGTGGTGGTTGATTCCGACGCGTTCAAAGAAAAGGACGCAATCTTCCGCGCGCTCTCCGCCGACCGGCTGAACGACGCCGCCCGGATCTCACAGCTCGTGCACGAGGAGTCGACCCGGGCGGCGCAGTCAACGCTGGTAACCGCGCTGAACAAGGGGAGAGACGTGATATTCGACGGGACCAAGTCGTGGGCCCCGTTTGTGCAGCAGACGATTGCGATGGCTAGACAGGTGCATGAGAGGCGGTTTCGCATGGGGCCGGGGTATCAAGTGAGAGAGGATGGGAGTGTGGTGGAGCGGTATTGGGAGGAGGTGGACGAGGAGGGGGAGAGTGATAGAGGAGTGGAGGAGGGGAGGGAGAGATGGGAGGAGGAGGGGAGGGCGATAGAGGGTGGAGAGGGGGTGGGGAGCGAGAGAGGGGATGGGGAGGAGGAGAGGAGGAGGGATAAGCCAGGAAAGGAGGGTCAGCACCGGCCGAAGCGGCACAACAGTCCGAGGAGGGTACTGGGTTCGAGCAGGGGAAGCTATTGCAGCAGCGAGACGGGGCAGGGGCAGGGGCAGGGGCAGGGGCAGGGGCAGGGGCAGGGGCAGGGGCAGGGGCAGGGGCAGGGGCAGGGGCAGGGGCAGGGGCAGGGGCAGGGGCAGGGGCAGGGGGGCATGGAGGGGGCCCGGCAGGGAGGGGGGATGTGCTGGGAGAGGAGGGGGCAGAGGGGAGGCAGTGAGCAGCGGCTGCCGTATCGGATCGAGCTGGTGGGCGTGATGTGTGACGCGCACCTGGCTGTTGCTCGCGGCATGCGGTGAGGCGTGGGGTGGGCATGGGTTAAGGGATGTGAATGGGGCATGGGGGGTTGGTGGGCGTGATGTGTGACACTAGGGGCCGAAGCGTCTGCGGTAACTATCCCAAGCCTCTCCCCTCTGGGCCTTCCTCTCTGCCGTCCCAGGCGGGCCATCCGAACAACGACACGAGTGTCGCCGGTGCATGAGCAGCTTCGGTTGCACAAGCTGTCCCACCCACCCACTCCACCCATCCCCTGTCTTTCCTTTCCACGTCATGTTCCCCTCCCCTGAACCGTCCCTCCTTCCATCCCAGGCGAGCCATTTTGAGCAGGAGGGGAGTGCCGGTGCACAAGCAGCTGCAGTCGCACAGGCGGTTTGCCAGCAGCGTGGAGGCGTACTGTGACCTCGTTGACGTGGCTACTCTCTACTGCACCGACCACACGGGCGGGCCGCCACAGGTTAGTGGGAGTCAATGAGGGTCAATACGAGTCAATGAGGGTCAATACGAGTCAATGAGGGTCAATACGAGTCAATGCCAGCTTATGCTGCTGCTGCTGCTGCTGCTGCTGCTGCTGCTGAGTGCATTCGTTTCTTACCAGCTTACATTACACACTCGCCTTCGCTCTAACCTTTCCACACTCCTCTCACTTTCCGTTTCTATCTCCCTCCCTCACCATCTTCACCAGCTGATTGGCTACAAGGAATGCACACCACCCCCCAGGAGCGCAACCACCTCACTCACAACCCCATCCGGCACAAACGCACCTCCTATAAGAGCACCCGTTGCAATCACACCGCCTACAAGCACGCCCCCCATTACGGGCAGCATCTGCAGCGGGGGTGTGTGCAGGCACCTGCTTGTAGATTCAAAGACTTTTGAGACGTCTCAAAAATGCAGCCGCCTGCTTGTAGATCCAGAGGCCTTTCATTTAGTCTCCGACTTGAAACGCGTCAACCCCCGCGCCTCCTGTGTTCTAGAGCTGTATTTTAAGGAGGGGGAGGGCGAAACGGAGGGGGGAGGGAACGGGAAGGGGGGCGCTGGGGGCAGAAGAAACCTGTGGTGGCTGCCTGGATGGTGGTTGTCCCTGTGGGGCTGGGGAAGCTGGGCAGTGCGGGCAGGCGAGGAAAAGTTTGGGCCGGGCAGCACGTGGAGGGAGGTGGTACTGGCGGAGGAGCGGGAGGCGCGGCAGGCTCGACTGAGGGAGGCGTTTACTGAGTTTCAGACGTGCCCGTGGCCGGCAGCTCACAGCAACCGAGGCATCACCTCGTCTACCAGCTTCACCTCCCTGCACTCCCTCTCTCCCTCCCAGAAATGAATGTAAATGTTCTGGAATGGCAATCCTGGTAAATATATATATACTTTTTGGGTTGCGGAGCAACCTATTGCAATCGACCGGACCTACTTTAAATTAGCAGTTGTCGGATTAAAAATCTATACTATCGTTTCCCCAGCCTAGCATGGGGGGGAAACCGAATAGTATAGACGTTGAGAAATACCATGAAGCAATACAATCTGCGAATCTCAAAGAAAAGCCTACACCAATCAAGTCCAGTTCAAAATGGCTTCACTGTCATAGTGGTGAACCACTGAACCTTGTGTGACGATGATCGGCAAGTCATCTCTTTGTGACGCGCAGACATGCATTACTAACGCATTGATAAGCACCAAATGAAGAAACAATACTATAAGAAGTCATGCTAGCAATTGTAAGAATATAGAAGAATAGTGTTAAGGTCGCGTATGACTAAAGAAACGTTGCATTGGAAGCTGCCATCTTGTAAAACCTGCAATAAAAATGCGTAAACAACATAAACAATAAGCATGCAAAGATATGAGTATTTTTAACATGCGCTTCATCTTCAAGGAAGAAATGGGGGAGAGACAAAAAGAACTACGTAAAAATTATATGCAATAAAAAAGACATGCATTAAAATCAAAGGAAGAGGAAAAGCAAATGAAGCTCAAATCCGTGAACGATATAAACTAAAAGTATGGTTCTTACATCAAAACCAATAATACTTTACTCGATGACATGCGGGCAACAATGTACATACGGTAGGTAAAATTTTCAAACGGTTGGGAGTCAATTGGTCAATTCCAAAGAAATTGGTATCTAGAACTATGGAATGACAACAATAGTCGTATAGACATCAACATATACGATTCAATATATAAACACAAAATCTATCAAACACTTACATCGAACAATCTCTTAGAAGAAGTGCAAGGATTGGGCGTGCAAGAAGGATCCAAGCTTGAAGATGCTCGAATGCTCATGATGTCCATAATGCTCTTAATTATCCGCAAACCCTCATAGCGGAAGTGTATCTTGCCCACACATAAAATAAAAGAAGAGGAAAGAAAGGAGGGTAAAAACTCCAATGTTATGTTACTTTTGGTGGAAAGCATCAATGTATTGAACAGTATGTAAAATTGCTTATCAAGTACCGTATGAGAGTATGAAAGTTGAATCATATTTTAGTTTAAACACTCACCTTCACACGCCAAATTCCACGCAATGTTTGCAACAAGCGCCTTCGCTCGTCGTCAATGGTGTGAAAATGAAACGAGGAATGATTGAACTGAGCAGCATGAGAAGTACAAGTACCAAACCCTAAAGTGTTGTACCCCATATAAGCAACCCCACTACAGCCTACACAGACTATAGTGTATGAGTTTGACACACCCCCATAGGCAAAGTGGGGGAGAGCAAGGGGTCACAAGACCAGTCAAGCAAAGCAAGGCAAAGCAAGCTCAGGGTGGATCACAACGTCACCACACATTCTGAGCACAAGTTCAAGGCCACAAGGCCAGTTCACATGCAAGATTACATATATATAAGGCTAAACAAGCAAGAGCAGGTATATATATATGTAACAGTACAAACAAGGTCAAGAAGTGAGCAAGTGAGGCAAGGTAGGCACAAGGCCCAGCTGAGTACAGAAGCGCTGATGATCACAAGGCGCGAGTGCCTTGGTGAAGATATCAGCAGTGTTGGCCTGAGAGGCCACGTACGCAAGTCGCAGCTGACCACGCGGCTGTAGCTCACGAGCTAAGAAGTAGCGAAGAGCAATGTGCTTCGTTCTGTGCTCCAGTCTCTGCTCCCGACACAAGGCCAGCATGGCCTTGTTGTCTACGTACAGCACTGGAGGAGAACGAGGCGGCTCTCCGAGGTCAGTCAGCAGGTAGGTGAGCCAGCGAAGCTCCTGTGCAGCCATGGCCCCTGCGTAGATCTCAGCCTCACAACTGGAGCCGAGAACAGAAGACGAGCGGGTAGCCCGCCACGAAACAAAGCCGGAACCAAGGCTGAAGGTGTAACCCTGTGACGACCGCTGCGTAGCCTGGTCGTCAGCCCAAGAAGCGTCTGCGTGCCCAGTGAGGACCACTGGACTCTGCCCTCCAAGCACAAGCCCCATGCCCGACGTACTGCACAAGTAGCGCAACACCCTCTTCGCTGCAGCCATGTGCTCCGGTCTGTGTCTCCCAGGAGCAACATAGCGTGCGAGAATGCTAAGAGGGTATGCGAGGTCAGGTCGTGTGCAGGTCATCAGGTACTTGAGGCAGCCAACAAGCTCTGGGTACGGGCCACTCGACTCTACGGACTCATCTGAAGGCAGAGCTGAGAGCGAGTGGCGAGTAGGCAGAGGAGTGGCCTGAGGCGAGGAGTACGTGAAGCCGAAGCGCTGAAGGACCTGCTGCACCATGTGTGACTGAGTCAGGGTAATGGTGCGGCGTGCTCTGTCCCGGGTGATCTGCAAGCCAAGGTAGCTGCGCAGTTCACCCAGGTCTGTGCACGTGTGTCTCTTCTGCAGCTCGGACTTCACGTGGGCGAGTCCAGCAGTGTCAGCTGTGGCAAAGACCAAGTCGTCGACGTACACGAGGATGTAGAACGGCGGCAAAGAAGTGTCGGTGCGCAGAAACAGCGACGGGTCGGCAGTAGAGGGAGCAAACCCAAGAGCCGCAAGTGTAGTCCTCAGTGTGTCGTGCCACTCACGCGGTGCCTGGCGGAGACCGTAGACTGGCCGCCGGAGGCTCCACTGGGTGCCATGAGGAAAAGTCCCAGTGAAGCCAAGTGGGCGGCGCAGCCAGATCTCCTCGTGCAGGCTGCCCTGCAAGAAAGCAGTGCTGAAGTCAAGAGAGTGCAGCTCGTAGTCACGGTGAGCAGCTATGTGCAGCAGTACCCGAAGAGTGGTCATCTTCGGGGTGGGAGAGAAGGTCTGAAAGTAGTCAACTCCCTGCCGCTGACTGAAGCCACGAGCCACGTAACGCGCCTTGAAGACAGGCGGAGAACCCGGCGGCCGCTTCACCCTGAAAATCCACATGCCACTGACGATGTTCGCCCCAGGCGGGGGAACCTCGTCAACGTAGGTGCCTGTGGACTTCCAGGAAGCCATCTCCGCGTCCATAGCTGCCTGCCACTGAGAGGAGTAGGGACCCTCTATCGCCTCCGCGTAAGAGCGCGGAGTCGGGATGTCAAGTGCATCCGGGTCTCCCTCAGGGGTAAGCAGTACGGACACGAGATGAGGTGAAGCAGCAGCCAAACACTGGAACTCCTCCTGCCTGTCCTCAAGGACGTCCGTGCCAAGGGCACACTCACCCCCGACGGACGGAGGACAGACAGACTCAGACTCAGCAACAAGACTAGCAGCGTAGTCTAGACGACAGCGAGCAGCAAAGTCGACGAGCTCAGCAACTAGGGCAGACGCAGCAGTGGACTCAAAGGAAGGGTCAGTGACAACAGTAGCAAGGAGACGCGTGACAGTCGGACTGGCAGCACGAAGAGAGTCCGACTCCGGGTCGGCAAGAGCAGGAAGAGAGGACTCAGGAGGAGAAGGCAAAGGGGCACGCAGAGGAGCAGTGGACGGACGCAGAGACATCCGGTGCGTGCCAGGGACAGGAGGAGGACGCTGACGCGAACCACGACCACTAGCGCGAGCAGCACGGACAGGCGACACAGGGCGAGACGCAGGCTCACGACGCTCAGCAAGACCTCCAGTAGGACCAGTGTAGGGAGAAGGAGCAGGCAGTGGGGAGGCCGGCTGTAACTGTAACTGCGACGGGACAGGCTGTGGACACTCTAAGGGAGGAGGAGGACCAGTAGAAGGCGGGAGACCAAGAACCTGCTCAAGGAGCGGAACGAAGTACGGCCGAGGCCGCGCAGCGACTCCAGACACAGCAGGGACAGCACCAGTACCCCCAGTGGCAGCACCAGAGCCAACAGCACCGCCAGCTCCAGCACCCCCAGCAGCTCCACTAGCTCCAGGACCTCCAGCAGCACCAGTAGCACCCCCTGCAGGACCGCCTCCAGTACCGCCAGCAGTACCCTCAGCGCCAACACCCTCAGCAGCTCCAGCTCCAGTCGGACCACGAGAAGACGCAGTGGCCCCAGCTCCAGTAGTACCCGCAGGCCCAGCAGCTCCAGTACTCCCAGTACGAGCACCTCCGGGACCCGTGGTACCAGCACCCTCAGCAGCCGAAGAACCTCCAGCTCCAGCAGCACGCCTCCAGCGCCGGGCAAACCACTCACGCACCTCCTGTGGAGAGAGTGGCTCTCGTCGAGACGGAGCACCCGGAGAACCTCCAGGCCCAGCACCGCCAGACGCCACACGAGTAGGCCCAGCTCCCGCAGGCTCCGCAACTCCAGGCTGAGCACCCCAAGGCTCAGCACCCCCAGTCGTAGCACCCCCAGGCTCAGCACCCCCAGACTCAGCACCCCCAGGCGCAGCACCCCCAGGCGTAGTACCCCCAGGAACAGCACCCCCAGGCTCAGCACCCCCAGGCGTAGCACCCACACGCTCAGCACCCCCAGAGTCAGCACCCCCAGGCTCAGCACCCCCAGCAGCACCAGAGTCACCAGCTACCTCAGCAGGCTCGACTGCGTCTACCTGAGACACACCTGAAGGGGCAGGACCCTGAGGGGGAAGGGGGTCTACCGGGGGGGGACCTGGCACGAGGAAGAGCGGTGGCGGGGGGAGGGACGGAGTGCGGTAGGGGAAGAGGCGGTAGTAGGGCACCGACTCGTCAAACGTGACGTCCTGGGAGGACAGAACACGGCGAGAGGTGGGGTGGTAGAACTGCCACCCTGACGCGTCAGGGGGGAAGCCAAGGAAGACGCAGGGAGCAGCACGAGGGGACAGCTTGTCCGCAGACAAGTCGCGGACAAACGCCCGAGATCCCCAGACACGGAACGCAGACGCATCGCCAACCTTCCCCGT